CTCTCCGATCGAATGAGATACTCTGGTTTGCTCGAAAAACTTGGTAAAACAAAAAAAAAACAAAAAATCAGAAAATTAGAAAATAAAATGAAACAGAAAAGATCTTCGTAGATCAACTTTCTCTCTCATGGCGTCTCAAGATTCTCATATGTTGACGAAGCTCGTGAGCTTCTTTTTACTCACTCTTTTAGTCACTAGTGTCTATTCAGAACCTCAGTGTCGGAACTTCAAGTCGATCATCAGTTTCGGTGATTCCATTGCCGACACTGGAAACTTGGTCGCTCTCTCTGATCCTAACAATCTTCCTCACGTTGTGTTTCCTCCGTACGGAGAGACTTTCTTCCAACATCCCACCAGTCGTTTCTCAAATGGTCGCCTAGTAATCGATTTCATCGGTAAGTCAACTGTGTTTGTCTCTTTTTGTCTTCTCTCTTTGAGGTGTGAGTGAGTGATTAATGTCACGACCGTGTCCCGATGATTTTTAATTTTTGCGTAGAAATATTTTTGAATCGAACATGAAAAATGAAACAGAAGAAATTTTTATTTAAAAGAGATTTAAATGGATTGGGCTTATATAACGTTTCCTCTTCAACGCTAAACGAGCCCATCAAGCCCAACTAACCCATCGAAAACCCTACTCATCCACTGTATAAAGGGAGAGGATGTGAGACTTAAAAACCAAGAGTGCAGCTGTGGCGAAGTACTAGCCGTTTTACTTTTCACCTTGTAAACCCTAGCTGCCCTTGGAACTGAACTTCACCGCCNGNTTGAGAGACNATTTNCCGACNAACCGTCACNAACTGTGNGANGATNNACATATCTNTGGAAAGGTCCGAGTCTCAGCTTTCCAGAAAATCTAATAACGTCTCGATCCAAGTTTTGTGGTGAAAGTTATGGCCTATTCTTTCCAACTGTCGCGATATGTCTTTTCTCGAACAACCGCAGATTTGACCAGTTTCGATGAGGAACTGAAACCAAGGACTTCGGATCGATATGAATATTGATAAGGACTTTCCTGACTCTCTTACTTACCCAAGGCAGAAAGCGGTTTGTCATTTGAAGTTGTGATATGAAAGTTATGGATCTTTTCTCGTAGTTGTTATTTGCTGTGAGAGTTTCCGACGAGTCAGAGGAGAATTTACGCTGCAATTTTGTCAAGGATCGGATGAAGCTTATATTTGGTAAACAGATTCTTAACTCTCTGATCTAGTAATATTTGAAAGAATTTTGTCATTCGGTGTTATGGAATGAATGTTATGGATGTTTTACTTGGACTGATCTGTACAGAGTGAGTATGCGACCACCGATTTCGCATACGTTTTCTGGCCAAGTCTAGAAGAACTAGATGTTGATATGGGCGTCGTTAGAAAGATCACGGATTCTAGTTTTTGTAGAAGCTTTCGGTTCTAAATTACGAGGTATGATCTGCTCGTAATTCCTATTTCAATATTGAGAAACATCACTGTTTCTGAAACTGGAATTCTTATTTTCATATCCGATTAGAAAATTTGTGGGCTGATTTCCTGTCGTTCTGGAAGGACCCAGAAGACGATATGGATATTATTGGAAAGCTCCGAGTCATGGCTTTCTAGAGGCACCAAGTTTGTCTTGATCTGAGGTACGAGTAAGAAGTTATAGNTGTTTTCTTCTNACTGGTATAATTTGNCCGAACTGAATAAACATTTTAGGAAGTTTAATAATGGAATGTTGAACATGGGTTCCTAATCGCAGATTCTCAGTAGCTCATTCTTCCATGTCAATCTATTCATAAAGGTTAAGGTGAGGGTGTTGTCTAGATTACTTTAATACAAGTTAACACTAGATGTTCTTACATGTTAGTCTAGGAATGGAATGTGATGTTGTTGGTTATATGTGCTAAGTCTAGGAATGTTTGATGCTTGCTGATTGTTAGTAAAGATTGTCTGATGTGTGGAAATTGTTTGGTAGTTAAATGAAGTTAAAGATTAAAAAGTATTCTTTGAGATTGTTAGAGTATAGGATAGTTCTGGAAACGATCGCGTACGTAAGCCCGTTACAAAACTTTGCGTGTTGGACTACGAACGATAGCGTATGTAAGCCCGTTGTAGTCCATTACGCCTTAGAGGGCCATGACAGGGAGGACAGACCCAAAACGCGAGAAACGGGTTGGCTCCGCCGTGAATTTAAGAAAAGTAAAGAAA